GCCAGCTATTTTTTTGGTTGCAGCCATCATTGTTGTTTGGCAGGCCCGGGCTGAATTCAAACCCACCACCTTAGGTGTATGTGGCTAGCACCTTAGCCACTTGAGCCACAGGCACCAAGCCCACAATCAACATTTGCGATGAGTTTTCAAGCTGGTCTCCAGCAAAGATTTACAACAAAACAGAAGCTAAAATTGAAGGTTCTGTTGCACTGAGGAAAGAGCCCAGTGGTTTTATGCTCCTCCTAAGTCCTCGCCATAGACAAACAACCCAAAGAAGGACAGAAAGCTCTGGAAACATGAAAGAGAAAGCAGCTATTAGATATTGGAGGCAGCACAGGAAGAATTCAGGGGAGAGAGATGACAGAGCTGGGTCTAGGGGATAAATAGGCATTTGTGAGGGACAGGCAGATGGAGAGGGCCCTCTAGAAGTGAGGTGCTTCTCTGAAAAATGAAAGAGGGCAGTGGTGGGCCAGGAGCTTCAGATGTCAAATGTTTCAGTCTTTTTTTTTATAGACAGAGTCTCACTTTGTCACCTTTGGTAGAGTGCTGTGGCATCACAGCTCACAGCAACCTCCAGCTCTTGGGCTTAGGCTATTCTCTTACCTCAGCCTCCCAAGTAGCTAGGACCACAGGCACCTGCCACAATGCCCAGCTATTTTTTGTTGTAGTTTGGCCGGGGCGGGTTTGAACCTGCCACCCTTGGTATATGGGGCCAGTGCCCTACTCACTGAGCCACAGGTGCCGTCCCCTTTGTTTTTTTATTATTGGGGATTCATTGAGGGTACGAGAAACCAGGTTACTGATTGCATTTGTTAGGTAAAGTCCCTCTTATAATTGTGTCCTGAAAATATTTCAGTCTTTACCAAATTTGGTATAAAGAATCAGAGGGAAAGACCATGAGGATTTGGTTTTCATAAAAGTGACTCTGGCAACCAGTGGTTGCTAGATACCAGCAGGCCCCAGACCCCCAGGGTTTAAGGTGCTACCTCAGGGCCTGCCACAAAGGGCAGAGAGGAACACTAATTCACTTTGCTTTTTATATTGGGATTCTAAGACTTTAACTTGAAAAAAGGGCTCTGTTGATTAAGAGCAAAATAAAATAAGAAAGGAAAGAAGAAAAACACTGGTCAAAAGAAGTAATTCTCAATGGGGCACGGGGTGGGGGCCCCACTGGGTTGGGGGGTCGTTTGTGCTACCCAGGGGACATGTGGCAATTTCTGCAGACATTATGTGTGTGCTATTGGCACCAAGCAAGTAGAGGCCAGGATGCTGTTCCCTCAGGCTGTAACACACAGGACAGCCCCCATAGCACAGAATGATCTGTCACAGAGTCAAAGTTGAGAAATAGACACGCCAAAAAGATTACTACCATAGTTGAAAAAGGTGAGGATGGGGGCAGGAGGAGAAGGGGATAGATAAATTCACACCTACTGGGTACAGTGCACTTTATCTGGGTGAAGGGCACACCTACACGTACAACTTAGAGTCAATCTGTACAAAAACATGATCAGGTATAGTCACTCACACCTGCAATCCTAGCTGCTCTGGGAGATGAAGGCGGGAGCATTCTTTGAGCTGAGGAGTTTGAGACCAGCCTGAGCAAAGCAAGACCCAATCTCTACTAAAAATAGAAAAAATTGGCTGGGCATTGTCGTTCAGGCCTGTAGTCCCACGTACTTGGGAGACTGAGGCAGGAGGATTACTTGAGGCCAGGAGTTTGAGGTTGCTGTAAGCTAGGCTGACACCACACCACGGCACTCTAGCCTGGGCCAGAGAATGAGACTCTGTCTTAAAATAAATAAATAAGCAAAAATTTACAAAAACAAAGTATGTAAACAAAACATGTACCCCCTAACACTCTGAAATTTAAAAAAAAAAGATGAGGCTGGAGATGAAGCAATAGCACTGGCAGAGGGGAGAGAGAAGCCACATTCCTGAGGTGGAATCAGCAAGAACACTGAGAGTCTGGGGACTTTCTACAAATGGAGAAGGTCAGGCACAGTGTTAGTCTACTATGGTCTGTGGGAGTTGGAAACACTAGGACTTTGGAATAATAGCCCTTATTTTAGCCCTTTGAGATTTGTTTTTATGGGCGGCACCTGTGGCTCAGTGGGTAGGGCCCCGGCCCCATATACCGAGGGTGGTGGGTTCAAACCTGGACCCCCAGCCAAACTGAAACAAAAAAAATAGCTGGGCCTAGTGGCACCTGTGGCTCAAGAATTAAGGTGCTAATCTCATATGCCGAGATTGGTGGGTTCAAACCCAGCCCTGGCCAAACTGAAACAAACAAAAAAAAATAGCCGGCATTGTGGCGGGCGCCTATAGGCCCAGCTACTCGGGAGGCTGAGGCAAGAGAATCGCCTAAGCCCAGGAGTTAGAGATTGCTGTGAGCTGTGATGCCATGGCACTCTACTGAGGGCAATAAAATGAGACTCTGTGTCTTAAAAAAAAAAAGATTGTTTTCACTTTTTCACCACAGACTGTTTTGGTTTTTTTTTTCTCTTTTTTTTTGAGACAGAGCCTCAAGCTATCGCCCTGGGTAGAGTCCATGGCATCACAGCTCACAGCAACCTCCCAACTCCTGGGCTCAAGCGAGTCTCCTGCCTCCACCTCCCAAGTAGCTGGGACCACAGGCACCCGCCACAACACCTGGCTATTTTTTGGTTGCAGCCGTCATTGTTGTTTGGCGGGCCCGGGCTGGATTCGAACCCACCAGCTCAGATGTACTTTGTCAAAGTTCTTAACAAAAGTTTGTGCCATAAAAAAGAACTGAATAAATTTAAAGAGAAAAGGGCAAGGAAGCTATTTGAACCCCTTATCACCTACTATTGATCAAGATAGCACCCACCTGTGGTTTATCCAGTGAGGAATATTATAGTCATCACCCAGACGAGAATCCCGAGGAGCGCTCCGATTATGCAACTGCGAAGAAAAAAGTAAATGCACGGGATAAGTAAGATGTGGAACTGTTACAACTTTTCTGTTTTGGGCTATTTTCAACCTGGCAAATCCAAAATCTAATTACCTTGAACAATGGGACAGCATGTAATGGTTGCTCTCCCATGCATACCAAGTCCACACCAATTCCTAAAAAAGAAAAGACAAAAAGAACTGGAGGGAGGGGAGTGGGCAAACATGAGTGTTTCATTCCATAAATGCTATTATTTAACAAGGTATGAGCAAAGCCAGCTTTACCATTTATGATTTATAACCTCATCATTTATAACCTTGTTTCCTATGCAACAAAGAAATAAATAGATGGATTTTTGTCTGATTCCTCTTTTGAGGCCAGAAAGGAATAAGAACTGTGTAATCACAATAAAAAGGAAAACTAATTCATGTCATTTAACAGAGCTTTTTTTGTATTGACAATCAGGATTTGCTTTCCCAACTCCATCTTGTTGGTAAAACAGAAGTTCAACTGGGGCTCATGGGGCCAAGCTGGAGACACAAGGCGCATTATGGAAAGAGGGCTGAACTAGATGACCTGATGGTGCTTCCCAAGATGCATTGAAACAATCCTCCCAGAGAGGGAGCTCTTTTGTCAAATATGTTTGGGGAACTCAGAATACCAGACACACCCTCTAGAGATAAACAACATACGCTAACATACCAGAAACTCTGGGGAAGGCCTACAATCCAGAACCTGGTTATTTATGTATGACCCAGCATTTCCCATACTGATTTGAGGATGCTACTTATTTTGTCGCCTGATATCTACTGACATGCCTAGATCCTGTGACACGCAGAAGACCTTGTGGCACTCCTCACACTCTTAAGAAGTTGGTGGAAGCTCAGGGGAAAATCAAGCTATACACACACATAGACAGACAGAGCATGAGCCAGGAAGCAGTACCATTATCTATCATCCTCTGCTTGGTCAGGATCATGAGTAGGCGGTCCACTTCAAAGACACCCACCCCAGGCGTGATCACCACAGACATCTGTCCAGTTCGGTCAAAGTTGCGGTTGATGTAGTGCTTGTCAAACACTTGAAATAAAACAAAAATTCAGAACCCAGCCACAGGCAAGCATGTGTGCACTCTCAGAGAATTATGTCCATATTTCTATTATTTTCAACTGCCACATTCTAGTTGATTGTCTGTCTTTTCTCTTCTACATTAAGACCTGCTTGAACTGAGAACTAAGCCTCCATCATCTCTGTCAATCCTCCTCAAGGATGCCTAATACCTGCCTTAATGCAGCTTAAATGCTCAGATTTCATGTGGTTAATTTAAACCACCCACAAACGAGTCTGTATTAAAACTTACTTTTTTTTTTTTTTTTTTTTTTGAGACAGAGCCTCAAGCTGTCCCCCTGGGTAGAGTGCCGTGGCATTACAGCTCACAGCAACCTCCAGCTCTTGGGCTCAAGCGAGTCTCCTGCCTCCGCCTCCCAAGTAGCTGGGACCACAGGCGCCCACCACAACGCCCGGCTATTTTTTTGGTTGCAGCCATTATTGTTGTTTGGCGGGTCCAGGCTGGATTCGAACCCGCCACCTTAGGTGTACGTGGCTGGCGCTTTAGCCGGTTGAGCTACAGGCGCTGAGCCTTAAAACTTACTTTTAATGGTGGCCTCCACTTGTAATCCTAGAACTCTGGGAAGCCAAGGTGGGTGGCTCCCTTGAGCTCAGGAGTTCAAAACCAGCCTAAGCAGCAAGAGTGAGACCTCATCTCTACTAAAAAAAAAAAAAAAAAAACTAGCCTTGCCTTGTGGCAGGTGCCTGTGGTCCCAGCTACTTGGGAGGCTGAGGCAAGAGGATAGCCTGAGCCCAAGAGTCTGAGGTTGCTGTGAGCTAAGCTGATGATCCAGCACTCTACCAAGGGTGACAGAGTAAGACAGTGTCTCAGAAAAACAAAATAAAAGAGTCAGCACCTGTAGCTCAGTGGATAGGGTGCCGGCCACATACACTGAGGCTGGCGGATTCAAACCCAGCCCAGGCCAGCTAAAACAACAATGACAACTCCAACAACAGCAAAAAAAAAACCAGCCAGGCATTGTGGCAGGTATCTATAATCCCAGCTACTTGGGAGGCTGAGGCAAGAGAATTGCCTAAGCCTAAAACCTTGAGGTTTCTATGAGCTATGATGCCACAGCACTCTACCCATGGCAACAGTTTGACACTCTGTCTCAAAAAAAAAAAAAAAAGAATCAAACATTAATTTAACAGAGTAGACCAGAATCTTCAGATCACTTGGTAAACATGGTAAGATAATTTTTATTTCTAACATCTACAATTCCTACTATGGAAAGTCAGTGATAGGTGTCATAGCTCACAGCAACCTCAAACTCTTAGGCTCAAGTGATTCTCTTGCCTCAGCCTCCTGAGTAACTGGGACTACCAGCACCCACCACAATGCCTGGCTATTTTTAGAGTCAGGGTCTTGCTCTTGCTCAGGGTAGTCTCAAACTTCTGAGCTCAAGCGATCCACCAGCCTTAGTATCTCAGAGTGCTAGGATTACAGGTATGAGCCACCGTGCCTGGCCAAAAAAAAAAAAAAAAAAGATTTTCTAAAAGACACTATGCTCTAGAATTCCCCAGCACTTGGGTACAAACACATGGGAAGGTGATACAACAGACTAGATGTGAGCACACATCATCCCTGCCACCTCCGGACAGAAAGCTAAGCAGATCTAGGCCTATCAGACTCCCTCTACTGGGAATGTGAAATTTTGAATACAGGAGAGCAGAACTGGGGGTGCTGGGAGCTACATATAGCTCTAGGAATTCCTGCAGCTGTGGTTCCCAGAGCCACCAAGGTGGCTCAAGGAAAATGCCTTTTCCAACATGGCATTTAAGCCTTTCCTGACTGCCCCACTAAGCTCCTGTGTCCTTATAGCATTTTCTTTTTGTTTCAATTAACTTGGTAGGTTTCCATTATTTGCAAGCAGTAGTATTTCGGCCAACACATAAATGCAGTAATAGACATTTAGAAAAAATCACACCATGCTGTTCACAAATGGTTTCTCTTAGAAAAGATCAATAGTACTGGTGGAGGGTGTCATTTTTTACTTAATATGAATACCTATTTATTCTTGAATTCTAAGAACACGGGTTACTTTTGTCATTTTTTTCAAGTAGATTTTTTTTGGGGAGGACAGAGTCTCACTATGTCGCCCTCCGTAGAGTGCCATGGCATCATGGCTCACAGCAACCTCAAACTCCCAGGCTTAAGCAGTTCTCTTGCCTCAGCTTCCCTGGCAGCTAGAACCACAGGCACCTGCCTCAACACTGGGCTATTTTGTTGCTGTTGTTATTGCAGTTGCCATTGTTGTTTAGCAGGCTCGGGCCAGGTTCAAACTCGCCAGCCTTGGTGTATGTGGCTGGTGCCCTAACCACTGAGCCCAGGTGCTGAGCTGTGAGATTTTTTTTTTTCTTCTTCTTTTTTATTTTTTTCTGATTTCTACCGTGAGTAGATTTTTTTTTTTTTTTTGAGACATAGTCTCACTATGTCATCCTAGGTAGAGTGCCATTGCATCACAGCTCAGAGCAACCTCTAACTCTTGGGCTTAAGTGATTCACTTGCTTCAGCCTCCCAAGTAGCTGAGACTATAGACGCCTGGCTATTTTTTGGTTACAGCTGTTTGGTTGGCCCAGGCCAGGTTTGAAACTGTCACTCTTGGCATATGTGGCTGGCACTGTAACCACTGTGCTATAGGTGCCAAGCTGTGAGTAGATTTTTTTAATTACCTAAAAGCAGCTGAGGGGTAGGGTGGGAAATATGACAATAAGAACACAGTTTATAGTAAAATAAAGAGCCCAAGGAAGACTCCCTCTGACTCTTTACCATGAGAAACAAATGAGTCTACAAAGTTAATTTCACAACAGAAGACCCAAGAGCTAAATATTGGTCACTAAAGCCATCCAGTCCGAAGTTACTTCATGGAATGAATCTGCTGGGTGTGGGGACTGTCACCCAAGTCTGGGTCCCTTATGCATTAGTAGAGAGAAGTTCATAGCCATGAATAAGGAAGATTCTGGCTCACTGTGGCTGGCATCATGACTCACCATTGAATGACAGATTGATGGCCTCTAGGTAGTTTCCTTGTGCTGAGGTAGAATTATCTCCATGAGGAAAGCCCTCTGAAACAAAAATACAAGAGAAGGACAAACATCTCATGAAAGATAAATTCTCAAAAAAAAAAGTAGAAGGTGTCTGGCTTCCCAAGGCCCCCAAGCCTGTATCAGGGACATTGCTGAACTTACTACATATGTAATGAACAAGTGTATTCACTTGGAAATAGAAACCTAACCAGATGCAGAAATTACAGAGGGCAATGGATGGGAAACAAGCATGAACCTCTTCTTTGTCTCCCAGCCTCCCTCTCAAACCTCCTTTGCCACCACACTTTCTATCACATGGATGCAGTACCTGCCTGCTCCAGGCGCACCAACACTGGATACTGGATGAAGAGTTTTTTAATGGTCACAAGAAGCGAAGTCCATTCTTCTCTTCTCTCATTCTGCACCACCACTCTAAAAGGAGTATTATTGTAAAATGGATATCAAGCAGCTATGTATTGCATCAGGTCCCTTACAAGGAAAGAAGATGGGATTACCAGAGTTGGGTGAATTAACTATATAATAAGAAATAATGAATCAGGAAGAGATTGACCATTTGTCTGATGTGTCTGGGGTATTTGGTGCTGTTAGCAGTATCCTTAATACCACCTGTCTCCCTTTAAAATCAATGTTTGATTTGTATTTAAAATATGTTTTGAAAAAAAAAAGAAGTAACGAAGTTAAATACACATAATAAACATTAAAAAAGAAATGTGATCATATTAGTAATTACATAAAAGTAAAAGCTAGAAAAAATTTTAAAAATTGCCTTTTTGTGAGTTAGGGTCTCACTCTGTCACCCTGGGTAGAGTGCAGTAGTGTCATTATGGCCCACAGCAACCTCAAAGTCTTGGGCTTAAGTGATCCTCCTGCCTTAGCCTCCCTAGTAGCAAGAACTACAGGTGTCCATCATGACGCCTAGCTAATATTCTTTATTTTTAGTAGAGACAAGATCTCAACCAAGCGGCTCGGCGCCTGTGGCTCAAGCGGCTAAGGCGCCAGCCACATACACCTAAGGTGGCGGGTTCGAATCCCCAGCCCGGGCCCGCCAAACAACAAT